AAGAAAGAGGATGTTCCAAAAGTGGTCGAATTTAGGAGATCTTGAATAGATTAAGGTAGATTTTTTGTATTCAAAGGTCTAAAAAATACCATCAAAATGACCTCGGACATAGGGGCCTTTTTAATTAAGATGGTCTTCAAAAAATATCATTTTATGGATGGAAGACCAATCTCCTCGTTCTACGCCAGGGACATACACAGAAATGAGCTTCGAAAACATTTCAGGAGGTCAATTACCAAAAAATTTAGCTTTTTTATTTGAAATGTACAAAAAATATCAAAAACGAAACTATCGGAGGGGGGTCTGAGCACCAGGGTCTATACACTTCTCTAGATACCCCCTGCCTTCCATAACAAATAACGCATGACAAAATCTGCATTCATTTTCTGCAACCGTTGATGGTTATGATGAAAACGATGATGATGATGATGGGGGAGTACACCACCCAAAGGAAACCAAATACTCAACAAAGTTAGTGAAAGGGAGGGGAAGACAACAAAAACAGAAGGTTCATATTATTGCCAGAGAGAATGGTTGATGGTGGCGCTTTGCCATTCCGAACTTCTCGACAGCAGGAAGTGTAATCCCATACCTAAACTCGCATCGCAGTGACACCCTAAAACCACAGCCAAAAAAAGTGAAACTTTTCTAAAACTCTTAACAACCCTCACAGCAAACACTGTGTGATAAATTCTAACCCCCCGCAAGAAGTTTAACACCCTCCCCCACCTCATGTGACACCATACGACATTAATGTGCCACACAACAATAAGACAGCAAAAAAAATGGTTATTGTCCCCTTTTTTCGGTTGGAATTTCCTAAATTACCATATTTAGAGTTTTTAACTTTGTTCATCCTTTGGTCTAATTGCAAGGCACACCGACATGAACACACATACACACAGAGACATATTGGAAGGGTGGAACTACTCCGTTTGGCTTTTATTTCAACAAGGACGACATGTTTTCCCTTGCGGATGATGGGCAAAGAGCAAACGGGGAGAGAAAACAAAACAAAAAAATAAAATAAAATTAAGGGAGAATTATGACACAGATGTAAAAACATTAATGTTTACTTAACAAACTTCCCGGACCAAGGGCCCTGTAATGTTCTCCTCTTCCATGGCTACCTGACCTGACTAGTCATTATTACAAGTTATTTGCAAAAAAAAGAGAAGTAATCACCACATGCAATTCGTATAACATTCCATTAGGGGTTGAAAACTTCGCGCGGCCTTATAAAAAAAGGTGGCACATATTTTTTCTACAAAATTTTTGTTAAAAAAAATGCTGTCCTGTATAAGGACAAGTCGAAAAAAAGGGTTGAACTACTCACACCGGAGACACATTGGCTGGAGAACACTATGGCAAGAATTGCAATGCATGGCGAATTTTGTGTCTCTGGTGGTTTTGCTGCACTGTACTTGAAAGCTGAGATTCTTTTTTTGGGAAGGGTATAACGTGCGTGTCCTGATTTCCGCATAGCGGAATATTTGAGTTTACATTGGGGGTAGTTAGGAAAAAGCCATAAGTTTTTTTTTATTAATTGTGTTTTAATTGGAATGAAACTAAATGAAGGACTTTGGTGATGAGTGACTAACACATAATCAACACCCTGTTTCAATGGCAGCTAATATCGTCGGGGAATAAATAGGTTTCCTTGCAATTTTATTCAGAGCACAGATTTCCCTTTTTTCACTTTCACACTTACTGACGAGCAGCATTACTCGAAGATTGGACATTTTTTTATGGAGTCTATACTTTACTCTTTGTGTGAGAGCGCTCCAAAAAAGTGTTTTTTGAAAAAATAGAGTGGAAGCAGAATCGCTCGAAATATAGTGAGATTTTGCTCTATTTGATGATGTGTGTGTGAGCAATACCAAACCGGGTTCTATATGGTAAACTTGATTTTATAACATATTATAATCAGCGTCATATATTGAGTAGACCAGTTATTTTCTGGGAAATGCAAAAAAAAAGAAACAGCATACTTTTAGGGGAAGAAAAAATGATAAAATACTGAAACTATTTTTAGTGAATAATTGAAGTCTACATGTTTTGACGAAAGAAGTGTCATTGCCATTGAAAAACAGTTCGTTTCTGGGAAATACAAAATAATTGCATAGTTTTAGGAGTCGAAACGTAATAAATTAACATACAGTTTCCTGGAAATGTATAACTTTTCCTACACAGTGTTATCTATTCATATTGGACAAAGGGTTAATGACCTGAGGAATGTGGATATCCTTAGCATACTTTTAGGAAAACTTAGTATGAAATTGTCTACACCTATTGACGAAACAAGATGATATGTCAATGATTTCGAAAACTCGGACAATGGAATGAATTTTCATTATAACTTCAATGACCGGCGGCAAAGGAACGAACAAACAATTCGAGCTATCATTGGAAACAAACATGGCAAAATTTCGGAAAATATTTCGACTCTAAAGACAACACATGAAATTAGAGTCATATGTCTGGCGTATTTTTCCATTATCTTTATCTGTAGTATTTTTATAGCATATTTTTAGACGCTTCCCAGAATTTGTAATCTCTTTTAAAGCACCTATAGTATAAAGAAATATAAATGCTCTAAAAGTATAGAATAAATAAAAAAATATTTTCCGTAAATTTTTAAATTGTTGGGAGCTCCTTAAAGTATGCTATAAAATATGAAAAAAGTCACTTTACATATAACTCTAATTTAATCTGTAATCGGGTGACATTTCAAAGTAATCGATGGTTCTTTAGCGACGGATGACGGAAATTAGCAAAATCTCAGGAAATATGTTCGAATATTTATAGACAATAGAAAATTGATAGACAGAGAGCCGATTTTTAAAGATGCTGGTACATTAGATGGCGAGCTCAAAGCATAGCTTGATAGATGAGAGAAACCAGGTAGCTTTTTTTAATGAATGCCCAAAATGACCAGGAAATATGAGGCTCTTCCGGAGTATGTAATAGATGAAATGAATGACCTTAGGGGACTTTAAAGGAGAGTCGAAGAGTCAGGGAGCATATTTTATTATGAGGTGATGGGTCATGTAATTCCTTTAGAGATGGGCTGAAGATCCAGGACTTTCAGATAATCGCCCTTGGAACTCTCTAGAAAACTATTTTTAACAAAATATACTCTGAACCTTAATAAAATATTCCTAAAAAATCTCAGTTAATTTCTCTGAAGGTATTTGAAAGAAAAATGACGATTAACTCTAAGAAGGCATTTGAAAAAATTGTTTTAAAAATCAACGATAACTGCCTTTTAAGGTCCCTAAAAAAATATTCTTTAAAAAGTCTAATTGTGGAGATCCCAGGAGGTCCTTGAAGAAATATTCCTAATAAATCTCAAGAGCCTTGACAACATTACTTCCACTGAAGGTCCCTAAAAATATTCTTCAAAATCCACGAAAAATTTACTGAGGCTCAATAGAGGAATTGTTAAAAAATAAACCACGTTTACTTCTTCTAAAGGCTCATGAAAATTTTTTCTTAAAAATCCAATAATAAGGCTCTGATATTTCGTTGAAAAAATAATTAAAAAATCCTACTGCTTCCGAAGATCTTCTAAAATGATTTCTGTCTTAAAAACCCATGGAAAATAAAAAAATCTATGACAACTGACTCTCAGATTATTTACCTTGGAGATTCCTAGAAAACTCAAGCAAAGAAAAAATATTGTTTTAAAAATCACGATTTGTGACTCTGAAAAAGCAATCTTAAAAAATCAACGATAACTGAAGAATATTCTTAAAAATCAAAAAATGTCTTCCTTGAGGTTCTATACAGAAGTTCTTTAAAAGGCTAAAAAAAATCCTTGACGACTGACTCTCAGTTTATCCCATAAAATAATTTTTAAAAATCCAAGAGTACTCATATGGTCGTTTTAAAGATATGCATAATGAGATCATAATTGCATCCCCTCAAACCCAGAAAAAATATTTCTAAAAAAATCACGATATGTGTCTTTGAAGGTTTCAGAAAAACAATTTAAAAAATCTATAATTACTGCTTCTGAAGGTCCCTGAAAAGAGTCTTTAAAAATCAACAAATGTCTTCCTTGAGGTTCTATAAAGATATTCTTTAAAATTACTAGTTAATCGATTTCAAAGCTTCATAAAAAATATTCTAAACAAACCCATTTTAATTGCTTCTGATGATCTGTCGAAAGTATTCTTTAAACATCCAGGATTACTGCCTCCATTAAAAATGTTCCTAAATCTAGGAGTCGATGGAAACAATTTAGAGCAAAAACAGTGAAAAATGTCCCCGGATTCTACGAAAAAGTGCCTGAAAAAATTTACGATTGCTGCATCAGATTATTGCAAAATATTTTGATTAGTGACTCTAAAGATCTCTGAATAATATTCTTAAAATATTCATGTTTACTCCATCGTTGGTCTTTGGAAATAGGTCCAAGTAACAGGGATCTCTAGAGGCCCTTGATACAATATTCTTAAAAACCCACTATCTAGCTATCTAAAGGTCCATCAAAATTGTCTTAAAAACCCGCGATTACTTACTCTAAAGATCCTTAAAAAATATTCTCAAAAATTGAAAAAAATGTATTTTAAAATAGCCGTAATTGCCATTGAAGGCCCACTGCAATATTCCACAAAAAACCACCATCACTGCCACTGAATGTCCAAGAAAAAATATTTCACTAAAATATCTTTTAAAATCCAGGATTACTGTCTCTTAGGAAAAAAACGCCCACTGCCACACTACTGTCACTTAAGACTCATGCAAAAATATTCATAAAAATCCACAATTATAGCTTTTGCATTTTTTTTCTATTAGAGGAGTGTTTTTTTCTATTCTTGTCTGAGCTTCCCTTAAGGATATATCCTCTTACTTTATCTAACCCCCCTCCATATCATATCTTAGAATATTGCTTCCTCTTGTAGTAACATAGCAAAAAATCCTCACACTTTTCACATATAATCCCATAACTAACAATTTTTCGCTTCTCTCTCCCTCTCCCCCTAAATCAACAGATCAACAACGGCAACAAGAGAAAGTGAAAATTCGATAGCGACATCAAATACCACATATTTGCCAACGCAACCCCTCAAGGATAATTCCAATATACGAATAATTAAAGTCAATGCCGAACAAGCGCACTTAGTGGAACAAAAACAACAGCAACAACAACAATTGCAGCACCAACAATCGACTTCATCCCCTAGTACTGCGAATAACAACAACCACAACCACTTGACAAACTCAAAAGTCGTTGGTACTGCATCAACCACCACCCTCAACAGCCAAGCAACGAAAACAAATAACGCTGGCGAACGCCCTCTCAAGTGTTTAGAGACTTTGGCCCAAAAGGCTGGCATTACATTTGACGAAAAATACGATTTTGCCACGCCAACAAATACAACACCCCCACCACCACCACAACACCAACAAACACAACAGCTTCAGCATCAAACACCCACTGGCCAGATCCAACCACAACTGCAAAATAATCTCAAACAAACACAATTAGCTAATCTAAGGGCAGCATCATCCGCCTCCACCTCCACCTCCTCCTCATCTGTCGCCTCTACTCCCACCACCAATACCTACACCCATACATCCATTTCGATTGTTGGCAACGGCAGTGTCGGCGGTGCCAATATAAAAAGCTTCAAACTGGAGAAATCACAGAGTCCAGCCCAACAAGTGGCACCCGGTACGGTGCCACTACAGCTATCACCCGAGCAACTACAGCAACTGCAACAATTCCATCAGCTACAACATGGCTCACCATTTGCAGCCATTCAAGTCAAACAGGAATTTCCCACCCAGCAACATACCCTGTCGGCTGCGGGCGGCACAACCACGGAACTTAAACACACCAGCATGTTGGATGCCGCCACCCAGGGTCAGCTGCAACAGATGCAAATGCAGTTAGCTGCCGCTGCGGCAGCCGATGCAAATGGTGGAGCTGGACCCAATAGTCCGGCCAATCAACAACCTACCAACAATGGCTTACAGCCCCAACACTCCACCACCATCAGTACCATGTCACCCATGCAATTGGCCACAACAACGGGCCAGGTGGCCACAGCCAATGATTGGACCCAGGGACGTACTGTACAATTTATGCAGCCATCCACAGGATTTCTGTACCCCCACATGGTATTGCCTAGTAATCTGATACAATCGGGTCTGGGACAACAGCCAATACAAGTCATTACGGCCGGCAAGCCATTTCAAGGTGGACCAACACAAATGATTACCACCACCCAGAATGCCAAGCAAATGTCCATTGGGGGCAATGCCGGCTTTCCAAGTGGCACCACCTATGCCATACCATCCAGTCAGTCACAGCAAACGTTACTATTCTCCCCCGTAAACGTAATCTCCCAGTCACCGCAACAGCAAAATATCCTGCAAGCCATGGCCCAGCAACAGCAACAGGCCCAGCAGCAGCAGGCTCAACAGCAGGCGCAACAGCAGCAACAGAAGGCTGCCGTAGATGGCCAAAAGGGTCTGCAACAGAAGGTGGTGCAAAAAGTCACAACCACCACAAATACCGTTCAGTCGGCCACAGCGGCCGCCAATGTTGCCCAGCAACAACAGCAGCAGCAGGCCCAGCAGCAATGTGTTCAGGTGAATGCCCAAACAGCGGCCGGCATGGCTGGTGGGGCAACACAAATCATAAGTCCACTACAGCAGGCAACCGGGGCTCCCCAGCCGCTGCAAATTAACGCCCCCTGGGTACCCTTCTGGTCAAATGGTCTGCAGCAATTGGCTCAAAATCAGATAATTATACGAGGTACTCAGCCGGATGGAACACAGGGTGTTTTCATACAACAACCAACGGGTCCCACACTGCAGGCTCAACAACAAAATCGTAAGTTTTTGCCGAAATTTTAGTCAACAATTGAATTTAACTAAACCCCTCTCTTTTCATTCCATCCCCATCAGAGATAACCCTACAATGTACCCAGACCCCAACGAAGCAGCGCACCCAGCTGGATCAGCTACAGGCTGCAGCGGCCGCCAAACAACAACAGGCCACTGGTCAGGTGGCCAATGCAGCGGCAGCAGCAGCGGCCCAGCTACAGGTCAATCAGCAACAACAGCAGCAACAGGTTGCCACCGCTGCAGTGCAACAACAACAGCAGCAGCAGGCTGTTGTGGCAGCCCATTTGCAACAGCAAGCCGCTGCCGTTGTGACTGCCGCCGCCAATCAACGTGGCACCACACAAATTATGCCACAGGCGGGTGGTGCTCAAATACGTCCAGCCTCCTCGGTTTCCACACAAACGGCCCAGAATCAAAGTTTGCTCAAACAAAAGATGCGTACCAAACAACAGGCCGTGCGGCCGGCATTGCCGCAACTGAAACAGGAACCCAACACCGTGCAACAAGTCCAGCAACAGCAGGTGGTAAAGGCACAGGCAGCCACCGTGGCTAGTCTCCAGCAACAGATGACAGCCGCGGTGGCGGCGGCAGGTCAGCAGCAAGGCCAGCCGACAATGCATCAGGTGGTGACGTCGGGTGGAAAACAGTAAGTATTCCCACAGTATGACATACGTTTCTTCTAACTTCTAACCCACTGTACCCCTCCTTCCAGAATGGTGGTAATGAGTGCTGGCACACCGATCACCATACAAAATGGCCAGACTCTGCAACAGGCCGTGGATAAGCAGCAGCAACAACAACAGCAGCAGCAACAATTGCAGTTGCAGCAAATACAGAAACAACAGCAGCAACAGCAACAACTGCAACAGCAGTTGCAACAACAATTTATACAACAACAAATTGCTCAAATACAACAGCAGCAGGCCGCCGCTGCAGTACAACAGCAGCAGCAACAACAGCAATTGCAACAACAGGCGGCGGTCCAAGCCGCACAGCAGCAGCAACAACAACAACAGCAGCAGGTGGGTCAAGCCCAGCAGCAGCAACAACAGCCACAAATCCAACTGCAAGTTGGTGGTCAGACCTTCATAACCACACAGCAACAACAACAACAGTTGCAAAATCAAATTCTGCAACAACAACAACAGCTGCAGCAGCAGCAACAACAACAGCGCGATGGCCAGCAGCAGCTAGGCCAAAATATAATCCATCAAATTGTGGTTGCCCAATCGCCGCAACAACAGCAGCAGCAGGCCCAGCAGCAACAGCAACAACAACAGTTGCAGCAACAAATCACAGCAGCAACTGCTGTACCCTTCTCAGTGTCCTCGTCGACACCAGCCTCCATTGCCAGCTCGGCAAGTGCGTTGCAGCAGGTAACCTATCACACCAAGACCTCCAATTCACTGCCCACCACATCTGTGGTAACGATTTCCAATCAGACTGGTCCCTTGGTTACAAGTACCGTGGGTTTGAATCAAACACAGCTGCAGCAACAGCAGCAATTGATAGCCGCCACCATAGCTGCCTCGCAGCAACAACACCAACAACAACAGCAGCAGCAGCAAGCTCAACTGCAACAACAACAGCAGGCCCAACAGCAAATGGTGGCAGTTGGCCAGCAGCAACAGCAACAGCAACAACATGCTTCCCAACAACAGCAGCATACAACTGTTATGCCACCGCCATCTTCTCCCGCTCAAAACCCCATCTTAGCCATGGCCTCCATGATGAATGCCGCTGCTGGCGGCAATCTGAGCAACGCCGCCTCCACTCTGGGCAATGTAACAAATGCCACAGTCCCGATGACATCGCCCCTAAACAATGTTACAAGTGTGTCTTCCCTGCCTACCACACCCTCAAAGGGTGCAATGGATCAATTGAAAACCGTTTCAAGTGCTCCCACTACACCAAGTACCACGGTGACGGCGGGCGTGAATGCCCAGCATAACGTTCAAATGCTATCGGCTCCCTCAACGCCAGTTGTTAGCTCCGATGCCAGCCAGAAGGATACTCCATCAAAGGCGAGTGATCAAAATCGAATGGCAGATAATGCCACACCCACAGGCACACTAAATCAGAACAATCAAACAATGGCAACAGAAACAACAACAACAACCGCAAATGGCAATAGTATGGCGGGAAATATGGGCCAAACAACAACCACCTCTATATCGGCCGTAACAGCCTCCAATAATGGTGGACAAGATTCTACGGCAGTACCACAATCAATGGACACCACTGAAAACAACAGCAATCAGCAAACATCTGCGCCGTCCCAACAAGAAGATAACTTGGAAAACAAACAGCATCAGCAGCAGTCAAACGATGTACAATCCACAACCCAATCATTAAATGATAGCAGCAGTATTGCATCTCCCACAAAAACGCTTAGGACTGCCACTCAAACACCAAGCTCCTCGGACACCTCAACGCTCACGACAGCTAAAACAAATGTTGTGTCTACATCCCCCGAAGCAGGAGGAGGAGGAGAGTCTACAAACACTACCATGACACCTGCTGTTGCCACAACAACAACAACAAGTTCATGTGGCACGGCTAGTACGTCCATAACAACAACTACCACATCATCCAATAGCAGTAGTTCAACTACAACCTCAACGACCTATACCAGCACCACAACAGCTGCAGCCACTGCCACCACACCCACCACCAAATCCTCGGGTGTTTCACCGCCCAAAACCACACCTGGCGCCACAACGGCTAAGGTTGAAAAAGATCTACCCAAGGCCATGATCAAACCGAATGTCTTGACCCATGTCATCGATGGCTTTATAATACAGGAAGCCAATGAACCGTTCCCGGTTTCGCGTAAACGTTACACCGACAAGGATGATAGCGACGAATTGCCACGTAAGTTGATGTCTTGGGAGATTTTGTTTTTTAAATATTGGACTATTTTTTAGAGCTATGTCATGATGTTTTTGAGATTTTAAAAGGTGAATAGCCAGAGACAGATAGGTTAGGTTACAGGGTGCACAGATACACTGGATTCGGCATCAAGATACAAATTGGGAATGAAGGTTTACCTAGCCATTCTGCGCTTTTAGCAAACCTATAGACCATAATGAGAAAGTCAGAGTTTTTATTTCCCACCTACAGCTTGCTTGACAGTATGGGACATCGGAATAGTAGATTTTCTATCGTCTTTACCTCCTCTTCGTCCTCACATGCTCCACATCACAATTTTCCCATCTTGAGGTCAGATATCTGACCTACTGCCGTGGCCAGTCAATATGTCCGCCATGATTCTTAGATCAGGCCTACAAATTGATAGAAAAAAGAAGCACATGTTCTTCATCTAGAGATTGCCTTCCAGACGGCTTAAATGCTTTGCAATCGGATTTCAAGTGTCAGCTTCTTAGATGAGGCCTTTACTGAAACGTTTGACATAATAGCTTATGGGTGGTTTGGCAGTCTCATCGATTGGTAGATCAATCTCCATCTCCAAGATGAGTTTTCTTGCAATCAGCTAGACATTTAGTTGGAAAGGGATACCGAAACTGTTTCAGAAGTCTGAACTGGAGAAATATGAAAATTTTAAAATAAGGGAGTGCCTCAACTTAGCTATGACGTTATGTTATGTAGCAGACCTATAATTCCTATTATGGCTTTCGATCGACACCTTTTTTTTGCCTTGAGAACCTTACACTTTACTTTTTAGACCTAAGTTTCAAATTGAAAGCACATCCTTTAATAACATATCCTTTTTTCCTTGCATTTCATCCCACACAGAGAAAAAACAAGCCCTCGAGGACTCGTCATCGAATAACACGAACAACAACAATAATTCGCTCTCTTCGAGTCCTCTGCCACCGGATATGGTGGCTTGTGAACAATGCGGTAAACCTGAACATAAAACAAAACTGAAAAAGAAACGTTACTGTTCACCGACATGTGCCCGACAGGCAAAGGCCTCCATTGGACAAGAGCAGCCCAATCAAAATCTACAACAACAACAACACCAACAAAGTGATAATGGTCTTGGCATGGCTGGAGCAGCAGGATCAATGCCTCTCGGCACAGTCAATGATACGGCATCCAATCCCAACAACAACAACAATGGCATACCAATGGATATAAGTCATGCAATGGCGACACCCATGATTCCAGTTAATGTCGGCATGGTCGATACACCGCTGGTGGCAGCAATGCCTATGGTCCCGGCCCCCACATTAGCCCCAGCGCCCCTACAAATGCCAATGGCTGCTCCACTCATGAACGATGTTGGATCAGCTTCAGCTGCTGCTCAAATTGCCGCTGCCATACCCACAGCTGCGGCGGCCACCATGAATGCAATACCATCGGCTGCTGCGGTACAGCCAGCTGTGGATCAACAGCCTCAGATGGCCAATTGGACGGTGGCCGATGTTTGTGAATTCATAAGGAATCTGCCGGGATGTACAGACTATGTGGATGATTTTGAACAGCAGGAAATCGATGGTCAGGCGCTGCTGCTGCTCAAAGAAAGTCATTTGGTCAATGCCATGGGTATGAAATTGGGACCGGCTCTCAAGATAGTGGCCAAGGTGGAATCCATGAAAGAGGTGTCGGCGGCGGCCATGAATGCTGCCAACAATGCTGCAGCAGCGGCTGCGAACAATAACATGGATATGCAATAGAAAAATTAAATAAAATTGGTGTAAATAAACAGAAATAAATGGAATCGCAAGCTGTGGCTACCCATGCTTCCCTGGCTCCAAGTTTTAAGTCCACATAAATTGACTGTATTATATATATGGGCTTGCTGTTGGAATTATTTGCTTCGGACGAACCAAAAAGCCTGCTGCAGAAAATGAAGAATTTGCAAGATAAGCTATACATGGTGTACGCAGACGATGTCCTTTTTAGGCCCTCCTGTACATACATATATAAAACAATTAATTGCTAAGAATTTACTAATCTAAACAATTTGGATAATATATTTCTATTTTAAATTTAAATCTTACATTTAAAAAACAAAAAGAAAATGCAAAACAAGAACAACAAACTTAATCTTAATTATGTAAAGAAATTTAGTTTTTTTAACAATTTTACTCTGTGAAACAAATCATCATTGCTTCCTCTTCTATTAATTATGTTTTTCTTTTGCCACTCGCAAGAACCCCTTAAGAGTTGTCACCCTTACTTATTATTATGGTATTGTATTTATTTCCAACTTAACCCTTTTTAACCTTAGGTTATCTTTAAGATATCATTAGAATTATATTACACAATCTATCGGCAGATTGTTTCTAATCTCCCTATTCCACTGTTATTATTTTAGTTTAGAGTTTTTTTTTATTTTATATACAACAATTTTATTTGTCATCATTACTTCTCGGCCCCTCAAAGAAATGGGTTTTAATCCAAAAAAAAAAAAAAAAAACACATATGCAATAATCATCCACCTCTTCCAATTTGGTGGCCCCATGAATTGTTTTTAGTGTTTTTTTCTTTCACTGAAAATATATTCATTCACAGAAGAACCCATAATTTTGATTTTGATTTTTTTTTAGTCGATTTTATGTTTCATAATGCATAAGAAAACATCTTTTTTATTATTACATTAATAATTGAATAAACAAATAAATTCACTGGAAAGTGTTTAAAATATTGTAAAAAATGATTTTTGTTTTAAAATTTTGAAGTTATTTTCTCGTACGACCTCATGGACTCCTTTGCTGGAAAGTGATGACAGAATAGTTTATTCTGAGATTTATAGTGAAATATTGTATAGAATATTTCTTCAGGCGCCAACTCGAAAAAAGTCCGAGGAAAATTGACTAAAAAAGTAAGAATATATTTTCTGGATATATAATGGAAATAGAGTTTTCCTTCCCTTGGTGTCTAATAGTGAAATTTGATATAGAATAACTTTGTCTTTGACACATCAAAATGTGTTTTAAATATACATGAATTCTAGGCGTTTGGGTAAAATCTACATTTTTGTCGTCTTTTTAAAAAGGGATTTTAAACCATATTTTGAAAAAAGGGTCAAAAGACCATTTTGTTAACTTGCTTGAGGCTGAATTTTTTTCTGTCCAAAATAATCCTAGTTTTGGTATCTGCTATTGCCGAAGACACTGCATAGCGGATTTCAAGAAATCTTAATTCGAAAATTTCAAAAAATGTGAAAGAGGTGAAATTTGCTCCCTTTATTTATGTTACTTTGCGATGTAAACTTTAAAAACCCCTATTCACGTGTTCTCTATTTTAAGCGCTACTTTCATAATCTGCTGATTATATAATTAATTTTTTGTTCTACAGTGTTATATTTTTAAGGACTTCTTGGATTTTCCCATCGTCAACTTGTAAAAAGTCCTATTTTCAGGATATCATTCCCAAAAATGGTGGATTTTCAGAAATATTTGTCAAAGACTACATTCAAAGGACCTAACGTGAGTCTGATATTAATGAAGAACTTCCTATAATTCCTTTTAAAATATTGGATTTTTATATACAAACGTTATCATAAGGAAAAAAATAAAATAAACTATAAGGAAAACCAGAAAAAATACATATATTTTTTGATATATATAGATTAATAAAAAATATAAGATTTCTTGCAATCAGCATTTTTAAGGTATATAGAGCCTTTAGGAATATTTCTGACAAAAGTCCATGGAATATTGTTGTATAGTGAATAAATCCTCTGTCGAGTCATAAAAGGGCTCTTGTAGGTCCTTTTCTTCAAAACCTCCATCAAAATGTCATAGGATCAGAATAAAAAAAAAAAAAAAATAAAATTTTACTATATGTCTAAGAATCCATCAATATTTAGTTAAAGGCCAGAAATTTGTAAAAATAAAAAAATGTTTAAGGTTTAAAATAGTACTCCATCGGAGGTGGTGATGTTACGGACTGAAATATTCTATACAAAATAAGTAAAAAAGCAGTAAGTTCGGTCGGGCCGAACTTTAAATACCGTTTACCATTTTGAAAGAAATTTAAATTTTTCATAAATAAATAAAAAATGAAATCCGTTCAAAATTCTGTTAAAATCTTAAAAATGCCAAGTATAGCCGTTATATTGGGTTCTATAGGAAAGCTTGGGCCTGGTGAGGCAACTTTTGTCATAAGTCATTACAATATTCAAATACGAAACTTGAAAATACCGAATACCGGGAGGTACCGTTATATGAGAGCTATACGAATTCGTGGACCTGTATAGGAAATTTTATGGCATAGGCTACCATTTCCAATTTTCGAATTCGGGTGGATAATGTCGCTAAAATCATTAAAAACCAAATAAAGGGAGGTACCGTTGTATGGGGGCTATACGATAACGTGGATCTATAAAGACATTTCTTTTCCAGGGGCTAAAGTGCTTAGAAATAACTTCTAGTATGGATTTTTCGACAATTCCATTGAAAAATGTAGCTAAAATCAATGTAGCAAAATGGGGAATATACCATATCGTGAACCTATATAGACAACAATGGGTAATGTACTCAGAAGGAACTCCTTTTGTGGATTTTCAAACAATTTCATTGCAAAATTTGGCTACAAACATCAAAATACCGAATATCGGGGGCTACCGTTATATGGGCGCTATACCATATCGTGGACCGACCATATTCGAAATTGACTTCCTGCAGACAAAAGACTGATCTGTGCAAAATGTTAACTTTCTATCGTTATTCGTTTTGACTCTAGCGTGATTACAACAGGCGGATGGACGGACAGGGCTAAATCGTCTTAGAATTTTACGCTGGTCTAAAATTATTATTTCAATGAGTTACAAACGGAATGACGAACATAATATACCATCCATATTACTAAAAATTTCACTATATGTCGCCAAAGATCTACAATCTGGAAACATACATATAATCAAGATTTGCAAATAATTTATACTCAATAATATGGGTATTGAGTATTACTTACATTGAATTCTTCGACTCCGTTAATAAAATAAAACAAACATAATTATGTATTATTAGTATAAGTTTTAAGAGCGCTATATTTATGTGAAAATTGTATTTGATTTCTTTTTGTATTTTTTTTTTGGTTTTTAATTTTTGTTGTTGTATTATTATTAATTTATTGGTTCTTAAGAGGTTTTGGTTGTGATCTATTTTTTCTGTTGTATTCTTCTGTTACAATTTGTAGAGAGTTTTCTTGTTTCTTTTATTTTTTGTGGTTTTTGGGAAATAATAGGTATTTGACAAAATTTCCAACTAGATTTGAATTGTTTTAATTTTGTTCTGACTATTTTTGTTTTATTATCATTTAAAGCATTTGTTTATACCTCGTTTCATATTTTGTTTTTTTTTTTTGTTAAGACTTTTTACAGATTCAAGTGAAAAAAATATGAAATTATTTTAATTTTTTTTCCAATTGCCAAAATTTTAAAATTTGTTATTTATTTTTTAATAATTTTCAATTTTATTTACACTTTTTTTGTTATTCTAGATATTAATTCGTTTGACTCTGCTGCTACATATGTTCGAAAAAATAAGGAAATGGTCAAAGAATGGACCTTCTTATATCCGTGTTTGAAGACAATTATTTTCTAGTTCTTTGATATAACATTTCTAGATATTTCTTTTGTAATCTTTAGAGAATTTTGAAATTTTTTTCTTAATAAAATTTATTTTTTTATAATATTTACATGGAATATTAAATCAATTTTTGAATTTGTATTTATTTATCATTTTCTTTGTTAATTCTCTTTAATTAATGTAAATATATATTTTTTAAAGCAAACTTTTTTATTCACAGCCGTTATAATCCAATTGTTTGTATTAATTTTTTTCTCTAATTCATTCATATTATTTCCTTGTTCCGTGTTTTTTTTATTAATTTTGTTGTAAGGTTTAAGTAATGGTCCTTTTAATGAACATATAATGAAACAGTTTTTTTATTTTCAGAGATTACTTTTTTCTCGGAATCTCGGCTAATTTCTTAATTCAACGAAATAAGTATTGGCTCAATTCTCGTTCTATGAAAATGTGGAATGAAAATTTCTATAAGGAAAGAAGTGTCAAAAAATGTATAATGGAAATATTTTTCATTTCATATTTTTATAGAGCGGTAATTGAGATCCAGGGTCTGGATTCTTGTTCTATGAAAATATGAAATAGGCATTTAACATTTCTTTCCAATATAATAGTTTTCATTTCACATTTTCCTAGAACAGGAATTGAGGCCCAGGGGCTGGATTCTTGTTCTATGAAAATATGAAATGTTTCCTTTATAAAATTTTTCATTTGACATTTCTTTCCTTTATAAAAGTTTTCATTTCACATTTTCATAGAACAAGAATTGAGGCCCAGGTCTCCTACAACAATTTGAAACATTAAAAGTGGTTACCAAGGCCCATATAAGGTCGGCCAAGAAGACTACGACTACTGTGATTTCAAATCACAATTTTGTTTAGTTGTCAGTCATGCCATGTGGTTACTAATTTTATTAACAAATATTGACAATCAATGTAACTTCCGAATACCAGGGGCCACAGGCGTAGCCAGAAATATCACTCGAAACCATTTTGGATAGTACAGATTGTAAAGAGGATCGGACCCCTTGACCCCTTATTTACTACGTCAGCGGTAGTCGCTATCTCAATAAGTCATGGTCAGAAAAATACGAAAATTTTCACTGAAGGCAGCGGTGTGATCATTATGAGTTTCGGTGTGGCAACTTGTCCGAGGAGCATAAGCGGAAAAAGTGGCAAGAAAATCTATGGCTTTTCTAACTGGCTTAAGTTGAGAATACATAAGGGTGAAAATACATAAAGCGCATATTTGGCTGGCTTAAGTCATCCACTGTCTTTTTCGTATATGAACAAAGGGGTTTTAGGTTGACTTAGTTCGATTTTTGCCCTAAGCTCCTTTGTTCATTTCCGAAGAAGCCAACCAGATAAGCGCCTTATGTATTCCCACCTTAAATGCTTTTTTGACTGGCTTAAAGCATCGGCTGACTTCTTCTTAAAGGAACAAGGGAGCGTAGGCTGATCAAATAACGGGCCAAAATGTAACTATGACAATCTTAAACTTCTTTGTTTTTCACGAAGGAGCCAGTCGATGACTCAAGCCGGCAAAAGGGCTCTTTAGATAAAAACAAATAAAACGCGAGGACTATTTTTATTCAAAATGTTAACCAGTCAAAATATTCTATGAAATTATTTGTTATAAAATTTTACTTTAGTTTCAAGAAGACCTCAAATGTTTAAATCTTACAAAAAGGTCAGTTATTCAAAAACATTAAAAAAAAAACACATTTAAGGTGAGAATACATAAAACGCTTATTTGACTGGCTTAAGTCATCGGCT